GCGTGCCTGTAATCCCAGCTACTCAGGAGGCTGAGGCAGGAGAATTGCCTGAACCCAGGAGGCGGAGGTTGCGGTGAGCCGAGATCGCGCCATTGCACTCCAGCCTGGGCAACAAGAGCGAAACTCCGTCTCAAAAAAAAAAAAAAAGAAAGAAAAATTCAATTGAATAGCTTTGAAAAATGGAGGGAGAGGGAGAAAAGAAAATCTGAGGAAACTGATTAGGCACACTAACCTTCGAAGGGTGAGATAATGGTTCAGGGCCTGTCTTCTCGTGGGGCTCACAGGTGCAGGGGCTGAGTCAGTTGCTGACTCCTCGGCCTGTGGGCCAGCCCCGGGTTCAGGTTCCCTGCTGATCTTCCCACTTTGGAGTTCGACCTCTGAGGGTGGCATAGGGGAAAGGGAGACAGAGGGACCCGGGGCTTCTGGTCTAGGTAGAGAAGAATAGTCTGTAAAAGCAGTAAGGCTGAAAGGGCCAACCCTCCTATGACTCCCAACCGCTTAAAACAGCGCTTCTTAAACTGTATAACTATACTTCTCAAGATACTAATAAGTTCTGCGTACAAAGGATTTTAGAATCATGAATTTGAGAAAGGCTAGCATAAACATTTTCAGTATTTTTTGAGACAGAGTTTCGCTCTTATTGCCCAGGCTGGAGTGCAATGGCGCAATCTCAGCTCTTCACAACCTCCGCCTCCTGGGTTCAAGCAATTCTCCTGCTTCAGCCTCCTGAGTCGCTGGGATTACAGCTATGCGCCACCATGCCTGGCTAATTTTGTATTTTTAATAGAGATGGGGTTTGTCCATGTTGGTCAGGCTGGTCTCAAACTCCTGAACTCAGGTGATCCGCCTGCCCTAAAGTTTTTTAAATCTTAAGACTTTGGCCTGGGTGCGGGGGCTCACGCCTGTAATCCCAGCCCTTTGAGAGGCTGAGGAGGGCCGATCATGAGGTCAGGATATTGAGACCATCCTGGCTAATATGGTGAAACCCCGCTTCTACTAAAAATACAAAAAATTAGCTGGGCATAGTGGCACACACCTGTAGTCCCAGCTACTTGGGAGGCAAAGGCAGGAGAATTGCTTGAACCCAGGAAGCAGAGTTTGCAGCGAGCCGAGATCGCGCCACTACACTCCAGCCTGGGCAACAGAGCAAGACTCCATTTCAAAATAAATAAATAAATAAATAAAAATAAAGACTTTGTATAGCTCTTAAAATATACTGTTACTATTCTTCAAGTAGAATTACAAAGTGCCATTTCCCAAACTTTATTTAAAAATCACAAAATTCGGCTGGGCACGGTGGTGCACGCCCGTAATTCCAGCACTTTGGGAAGCCGAGGCAGGCAGATTACAAGGTTAAGAGATTGAGATCATCCTGGTCAAGATGGTGAAACCCCGTCTCTACTAAAAATACAGAAAATTAGCCGGGCGTGGTGGCAAGCACCTGTAATTCTAGCTACTCCAGAGGATGAGGCAGGAGAATCACTTGAACCCAGGTGATGGAGGTTGCAGTGAGCCAAGACTATGCCACTGCACTCCAGAGCAAGACTCTATCCCAAAAACAAACAAAAAAAATCACATCCTCCCTCCCTCTCCCCGTCTCTCTCTCTTTCTTTCTTTCTTTCGAGTCTTACTCTGTCACCCAGGCTGGAGTGCAGTGGCATGATCTCAGCTCACTGCAACCTCCACCTCCTGGGTTCAAGCAATTCTCCTCTCTCACCCTCCCGACAGGTTCAGGCAATTCTCCTGTCTCACCCTCCTGAGTAGCTGGGACTACAGGTGCCCACCACCATGCCTGGCTAATTTTCTGTATTTTTAGTAGAGTCAGGGTTTCATCACGTTAGCCAGGATGGTCTCGATCTCCTGACCTCGCGATCCACCCACCTCAGCCTCCCAAAGTGCTGGGATTACAGGCAAGAGCCACCACACCCAGCCCCTGTCTTTTTTTTTTTTTTTTTTTTTAAGACAGAGTCTCACTCTGTCACCCAGGCTGGAGAGAATTGGCATGATCTCAGCTCACTGCAACCTCTGCCTCCTGGGTTCAAGCGATTCTCCTGTCTCAGCCTCCCGAGTAGCTGGGGATTACAGGCACACGTCACACACCCAGCTAATTTTTTATATTTTTGGTAGAGATGGGGTTTCACCATGTTGGCCAGGCTGGTCTTGAACTCCTGACCTCAAGAGATCTGCCTGCCTCAGCCTCCCAAAATGCTGGGATAACAGGCATGAGCCACTGTGCCTGGCCAAAATTCTCCTTTTCTTGAAACACTAAGTAACATCTCCAGAACACCAGTGTTCCTTAGACTACACATTGGAGAACTCTTAGAGCCATCTGTCTCCTTCTGAGCCTTCTGACCTCTGGCTTTCCCCTCCCATACCTGTACTTCCGGCGGCAGCAACTGTTATAATGGGGGGCTCTGTGCAGAGCACTCTGGGTGATAAGTCGCGTCTGGGTTAGCAGAGGAGCCTGATAAGGAGATGGGAGACAGAGTCAGAGGCTTCAGCCCTCTTCTCTTTCAGCCTGGTGTGTGCAGCAGGGTCTTGACTAGAATACACTCTCCATTCTCTGATTACCTCAGCTTTGGTTTCTTCCCTCCTCAATTCATTCTGATGTCTTGGATTCTGCTTCCTCTCCTTTCCCGGCTGCTTCTTGCCATAGAAAAGCTGCAAGCCTGAGGAGAAAGGGAAACAAGATTAAAAGCATAGCACCGGCCGGGCGCGGTGGCTCAAGCCTGTAATCCCAGCACTTTGGGAGGCCGAGGCGGGTGGATCACGAGGTCAAGAGATCGAGACCATCCTGGTCAACATGGTGAAACCCCGTCTCTACTAAAAATACAAAAAATTAGCTGGGCATGGTGGTGCGTGCCTGTAATCCCAGCTACTCAGGAGGCTGAGGCAGGAGAATTGCCTGAACCCAGGAGGCGGAGGTTGCGGTGAGCCGAGATCGCGCCATTGCACTCCAGACTGGGTAACATGAGTGAAACTCCGTCTCAAAAAAAAAAAAAAAAAAAAAAGCATAGCACCAAGAGTAGTGTGCAGAAATTTCGAGGGTTTATTCCCCATACCCTGTCTTTCCCCAAACTTACTGGATAGATGTTTCTTGCCTGCTCGGTGGGCAGTCAGCATAGCCAGGGTGTCCAGTACTGGTCGATGGGGGCAGATGGCACAAGCAAAACTGAGCAGGGGGAGAGAAGAGGATAACTGGTCCAGGGGAAGAGGGTTGGGCCAGTCCCTACAGTAAGTCCCATCCTGTCCTAGCAGTTCTTTCCAAAGCCCACCTCCAGGTCATCCAATTCCCACTTCTTCCGATCCTCACTTCCCGCCAAGGAATCCTAGATACTTCTGCTGTCCTGATTAATAACAAAAGTTTGTAGAAGCCGGGCATGGTGGCGCCCGCCTGTAATCCCAGCTACTCGCGACGCTGAGGAAGCAACATCACTTGAGCCCTAGATTTTGAGGACAGCCTGGGCAACCCAGCGAGACCTCCACCTCAAAGGAAAAAAAAAAGTTTGTTGAGCCTCTAACCATAGAACCCTCAGGCTTGGGCCACTCCTCGCTCTTACCGCCCATCCCGAAGCATCAGCGCCTCATCCTCTGGGATGTAACTGGCTAGCAGATCCCCGACTCTTCTTTTCTGCAGGGAGAAGGGGAAGAAATCCGGACGGCATTAGCAGATAGGAGAGACGGATGGAAGTGA